GCCGAGATAGGTTCCAATTTTATTTAAAAATATTTGTATCTCGTCACTAGAAGTAAGCATTAGGACTTGAAAAGAGACCCTTACAGGTGGTTTCAAAAAGATACCTTGTCGTGGTTGTGGAAAATTCACAGGACAACACAAGACCTTCCCACCTCCATCCTCTGCCTCGTCATTGCTAAGTTCAGCAAAGAAGAGTTCTGGATTTCTATCTCTTCGACTTGCCAGAAAATTAACATGAATGTGCTGGTATATGGAAACGGGTGTGCCAGTATCATAACAGTACTCGGGGCCAGACACATTATGGTTGACGCCACAAATAACATGAAGATACATGGGTTCCTGCAAGTGGGCAGAGGCAAGGAGCAAATCAGCGACTGCAACATGTCAGGATGATAATTAGAAGTAAAGACACAAATCTCAAGATGAACTAACTCCGTATGAGGCGAGTGCATATGAGGCCAGCACTGCTTTGACTTTCTTAGAGACTGTTGTATACTCGTGCATCCATTGGTCAATTTTACATTGAACACGACGGCAGATCTTGGGCATGGGAACAGATTGATGCCGCAGCGAATTGCCAGGGGTAGGGAGCCCTTGAAACATATTTCTGGTAATGCGGTCAACATCAGCAGAGTCGAGTGGAGCATTAATCGTCGGACTTGAGAATGGATAACTGCATGAGGAAATAAACTCTGCTTGCGCGACAGGGTCAGGGTGCCAAGCAGCCACACCGGCAGCCCTGAAGGCATTACAAATTTTGTTTCGATCCCCGAAGCCAGCCAAAGGGTTCGAAAAGCTCATATCCCCCAGAGTGCAATCAGAAATGAGCAAGAAGCACATGGCTTCATACAGTTTCTTGCCTGAAGTGCAGATGAAAGAAACAAGGCCATAGAAGGAGCGAGCCTCGATGCGTAACAGGCTATTGGTACTGATCATGTCAAGCTCAAGTTTTTTGGTCGGCGGGGAGACGGTGTTATACCAGATTGTGTTGATGATGATGTTGGCGACGGGATCGAATGGGCCATAGCAGTGGCCAGCCTCGAGCATGCTCTGGTGGTAGGAAGACCGGAGCTCACTCGTCGGAAGCAGAGCAAGTGCCTTCAGGTAGAAGGTGTGGATGCGCTGGAGGAGCACAAACTTCATGGAATTGTAAGGTCGATGCGGCACGACGGTGGGTGATAACTCAGGGAGCTCCAATGCGCGCTTCCAAGCGAAATCAAGGGGCTGCATTCCCATACGAGGACGCTTGCGAGCATGATGCAGTGGGTTGAATACACAGGTGAAATTACTGATGTCATTCTGGATCGCGTGGACGGCTTCTTCCAGAGGGCCAACCGGCGACAGCCAGGCGCGGACGAGGTGGTGGGGATCCATGTGCTTCGAGGCCAGCGCCGCGCAGGTGAGGGCGGTGCGGACGACGGACCTGCCGGTGTCAGAGTTGATTTGGAAGGAGGAGAGACACCGGTCGTGCGCGACGAGGCGCATCGCGTAGACGAGGTCGGTGTCAGCGCGGAGCAGGTAGCGCACGGCCTCCCAATCCGCGAGGTAGCGGAAGAAGGAGGTGAGGAAGGCGACGAGGCCGGCCAGGGAGCGCTCGGCCATGTCCGGGTGCTGGGGAGCACCCCGGGTCTCGTCGGCGCAGAGGTCGGAGGCGGTGAGGGTGTTGTAGATGATGTTCGTGGCCGGGTCGAGAAGGCCGACGGAGAGGCCGGCGCCGACGAAGGTCTCCTCCTTGAATGCCGTGGCCATGGCGAGCCGCTTGCGGACATGATCGTACGAGTCGGCGATCTTCTTGAGAAGCTCCGATCTCTCCCGACGTTGATCCTCGAGCCGCGGTTCGCGGCTTGTGGGCTTATAGATGCGCTCCATCGCCGCTGCCGCCGGCGGTTGATTTGGGGGACGCATCTGTAACCCTAGAATCTATTATCTCTTCCGAGTTCCGATACCTCCGCCATAGCATGCGAGTTTTTTTTTTCTTTTTTTCTTTTTAGAAGTACGAGTCTCGCGCCTGCTGTGAGACGGAGGAGTTCCGGAGACGGAGTGTTCGCTCGCTTCACGGCACCTGTAGTTATAGCTGGCCAAACGGGCCGGCCCGGCCCGGCACGGCACGGCCCATCCTAATCGTGCCTGGCACGGCCCGGCCCGGCCCGCCAAGGCCCGGCAGCCCAGGCACGGCCCATATGCTAATCGGGCCGGCCCACCGGCACGCTAGGCCCGCTAATCTGTCTCCTTTTTTGCGCACTGGGCGTTTTTTAGTCTATTTTTACCTGTTGGGCCACATTAGGATACATAAAAAATAAAAAAAAGATAATTGGGCCGTGCAGTGCCGGCCCGCGTGCTCGGCCTTCAGGCCCAGGCACGGCCCTTGGCATGCCGCGTGCCGGGCCTGGCCTGTTTAGCACGTGACGTGTTGTGCCAGGCCCGTGCCGTGCCAGTCGTGCTACCGGGCCGGCCCAGCTATCCCGGCCCGTTTGGCCACCTATACCTGTAGTGGCCCGGGGGAATGTATCCGGTGCACCCATACTTGTGGTGCTACCGGTGCACCGGATGTCATAAAATATTTTTTTAAAAACTGAAAAAATTCTACCATGTTAACGTAACATCAACGTATGGTGTCACAAAAAATTCGTATAAAAATTTGAAATGTTTTTTGAGATACAAAAATGACATATTTGGAATCAGTGTAATAATGTGCAAAATCTATAGGCCAAGTTATGTTATGTACTATTTAGTGTTAAATTTGTTATTTTTGTTTTTCGAGTTATGTTTCAAATTTTGACTCGAATTTTGTGACCACCTACATTGATGTTATGTGAGTGTGCTAATTTCTTTTCAGATTTTTTTAAACATTTTAAAAGCACAATTTGAGCTCGGTGCACCGGTAGCACCACAAGCTTCGGTGCACCAGATTTTTTCCCAGTGGCCCGGCCAGTAGTGACTTTTAGGTATATACCCTAACTTGTAGTGGCCCCGCCCAGACTCCATCTATGACAAAACTATGACAATGTCTTAAAAAAAGCTAAATCTATGACAACCCCTCAAAAAAATTAATCTAAGTCTATGACAAGTTCTAGAAAAAGTCTATGTCATTGATTTTATGTGACGATGTGTGTCGATACCTTTTTAGTTGGATTGAGTCACTTAGATGTGCAATAATTAGAAAAGTTTTCTTCAAAGCATAGTTCATGTTCTTCTTTGCCTTATTTATCTTTATAAAACGCAATCACTCAAAAGGATAGATTATATTATCCACAACAAGTCTACTCGGAACAAAAGTAGATTGTTCCAACAAAATAATATCTAGAAGCACTAATTTAAGCCTATTAGCCATAAGCTTCGACATTATCTTATAATTCACATAGCAGAGGGTTTTTTGGTCAAAATTGTGACAAATAGTGTAGGATTATTTACTTTCGGGATTAGAACAATAAATGTTTTGCTGATGGTCTCCATATCATCTTCCTCGTTTAATATTTTCGGAACCACTTGAGTGTCTTCCTCTCCATAAGGACCCCAGTGTTTATGGAAAAAATGTGTTGAAAATCCATATGGGCCCGAAGCTTTCAAAAAAACATATGAAACATAGCACTTTTTACCTCCTCAGCCATGTAAGGCTTTGTTAGGTCAAACATTTATCATGTGATTAACTTTCCTGAACTGAAGCAAGAAATCAAGGTCACACAACCCCTCCGATGTATATAAGCTCCCAAAAATATATTTTGCACATTACTCATCTCCAATTCACTCTTGAAGCTCCCGAAAGTTCTTTCAACTTTTCATTTAATTCACCAGCACTACTAGCTGGAAGGATCGATATGGTTGACTAGAGGGGGATGGGGTTGAATAGGCAACTACCAATTTTTAGTTTTTCTTCACAAATTAGATGTAGTAACAAATAGGTTTGTCTAGATATGCAATTAGGTGAACAACAACAAGAAGAAGAACAATCTCCACAACTTAAATTGGATGCTCCCAATACCACCACGAAGCTTCACCACAATGGATTGTGGCTCCGAGGTGACCTCTTCCATCTAGGGTACTCAAACACCCAAGAGTAACAAGATCCGCAAAGGATTAGTGGATGAATTAAATATCTCTTGGTGAGAAAGTGTAGATCTGGGCCCTCTCAACCAAACCCTAGAAAATCAACAAGATTGGTTGGCCAGGGAGAGAGATTGAGCGAAAATGGAGCTTTAAACAACAATGGAGTTTGGGAAAGAAAAAGAGGCGAGTCTTATTGGGAAAGAAGACCCCCTATTTATAGTGAGGACAAATCCAACCGTTTTTCTGTTCACAACCTGCACACAAGCGGTACTACCGCTTAAGGGATAGTTCCAAAACACAGTGCACAGACAGAGCACCCGAGGCAGTAGTGCCGCCGGAGCAGTACTACCACTCGCCCTAGCGGTACTACTGCTTAGGGTGCAGTGTATAGGAACTAGCAGTGGTAGAGGCATATGTACGACGGTAGTACAACTTATAAGCGGTACTACCGTTGCCTTACTGACGCGGAGTGGTAAACGAGTCCAGAGGCACAAATATAAGCGGTAGTGACTGAGCTACAACGAAATCTGCGAAAGTGGGGCGGTAGTAGAGGCGGAAGTACTGCAAAATGGTACTACTGCTCTACTTCCGCTCAACTACCGCTGAGCGCGTCGAGCCAATCAAAACGCCTCAAAAGTTCGTTTCGAGTCTTTTCTCTAAAAAAACAGAAGATGTCACAAAAGAGTGCACGTAATTCATTTCTCGGTGGTGGTACCACACTTAAGCCTAGTTTTTTTTTTTTGAGCGAACATTTTTTTTTTGAGACACAGCGAACATTTTTTTTAGGTGAACACTTGAGCCTAGTAGTCGTTTAGGCCCAGGCAGTACAAGCTCATGCGGCCCGGAAAGGAACATCTATTTTCCAGCCCAATAAGGCATAGAGCCCATGCCCCCAACCGAACGCTTCCCCTAAGAAAAGAAAAAAAAACCCGAGCAAGCTCTCTCCGCCGCCGCAAATGGAGGCGCTCCTCCGGTGGGCGGCTGAGCTGGGCGTATCCGACTCCCCGTCCGCGCCCACCACATCTACCACGACCTCCTCCTGCCTCGGCCGCTCCCTCGTCGTCGCTGATTTCCCTGCCGCGGGCGGGTAATAAACCCAAACCCCCACCCCGGCCGCTTGCGATTCTTGGATCTCTCGGCTCTCAGGCTCACGGATTTTCTTTATTGCCACCTCAGGAGGGGCTTCGCGGCGGCTCGGGACCTCCGGCGCGGCGAGCTGGTGTTGCGCGTGCCCCGCGCTGCCCTGCTCACCAGCGACCGCGTCATGGCGGACGACCCCAGGATTGCTTCCTGCGTAGATGCCCATCGCCCGCGCCTCTCTAGCATCCAGGTAATGCCATATCTTCAGGCAACACTTCAGTTTCATGATGCACTAAAACATGCTCATGTGAAATTGCTCTAGAATTTACTAAGGGCCCGCTTGGATTAGCGTTTTCTCTTGTATTCGGCTGGTTGGTCGTTTTGTTTCCAGGCGTAAAATCAGCTGTGACCGGTATTTTACAAGTGTAAAATTTTACATCCATTCCAAGCGGAGCCTAAGTTTCTGGGATAAACGAGAAGGAGTATGGCGGTGCGCAAGTAGTGACATACTAGTTCTGGAGTCACGGAAATATTTGCTGGCCATGCCCATATTTAACATGTATTTAACCATATGCCTCACTCTAAGAAAAAAGCCTCTTTGAGTCAATCTGGTGGAACAAATTTTTCCAAGGGAGATATGTCGGCAAACTAATTCCTAAGGATAATTAATTACTCGCTACTTGATTACTGCAGGAGTTTGTTTTTCCATGCAGTTTGTTTCATCCGGTACAATTTGTACACATTTATATGTACAACTATGCAAATACGATTACATGAATCCGACAGTTATTAGGAGATTGAAAATCCATATGTATGTAGCAGTTTCCTTGATGGAGGGAAAATCAATATATTCTCTGTTTACCGCAAAAATATTGCACAAGTAACTTCACCGAGTTAGGATACTAGTTTCATAGTGTTCACCTTCTAAGTGTAAACTCATTCTTGATCATTTTTCTTTCTTGTATTGTACTTCTGAACCTGAATATTCTTTGAAATGATTTCACTGCTCTCCTATTTGTGCTTCAACAGAGACTGATCGTATGCTTATTGGCTGAGGTGGGAAAGGGGAAGAGTTCTGGCTGGTACCTCTATTTGTCTCAGCTGCCTACCTACTACACAATCTTGGCTACCTTCAACAATTTTGAAATTGAAGCTCTCCAAGTATAGTTTGCAGATTTGTCAACAGAACTGTTTTTGGCTATCGTTTGCTCCATGCTAGAAACACATTAAATGGTTTCTGCTTTGACTATCAGGTTGATGATGCTATTTGGGTTGCACAAAAAGTTCTTTCTGCCGTAAGATCTGAGTGGGAAGAAGCAACACCGCTAATGAGAGAATTGGATTTTAAACCAAAACTTTTGATGTTTAAAACATGGCTCTGGGCTTTTGCAACGGTATGATTAATTTGAAATATAGTTCTAGCTTGATTTATGTCAGCATTCTTCTTATTTTATACTCTACCTTTGTCAGCCTTTTTTAAGTTGTTGTGTAGAACCTGTGCTGACTCAAGATTTTATCTGCTCCTTAGCCTTCTTTCCGATATGAGATTTTACCTATTGATGAGATCTCTGATGTTTCATTTGTCCACTTGAAGGTATCTTCACGGACGTTGCATGTAGCATGGGATGATGCTGGTTGCCTATGTCCGATAGGTGATTTATTTAATTATGCTGCTCCTGATGATGATACTTCGTCTGAAGAGCAAGATACAGAAGAAGCCATGAAGTACCAGGAGAGAAATGTTATGTTGGAAGAGATAAAGTTGGATAGTTCATCGGAAAGGATGACAGATGGGGGATATGAAGATTCTAATGCCTACTGTTTGTATGCCCGAAAAAGATATAGGAAAGGGGAGCAGGTATGCTCTAATATTCTTGCCTTCTGATAGAATTATATTGTGTTCTCTCTGCTTTCTTAAACTTGGCCAACAAAACATGCAGGTACTTCTGGGGTACGGGACATACACAAACTTGGAACTTCTTGAACACTATGGTTTTCTTTTGGATGAGAACCCTAATGAGAAAACTTACATTCAGTTAGATTCGGAGTTATGTACTATGGGTACATGGCCAAAAGACTCCCTATATATTCACCCAAACGGGCATCCCTCATTTGCATTATTATGTGCATTAAGGCTAGGGTCAACTCCTACAAACCGTCGAAAGTCCTTTAGTCACCAGATCTACTCTGGATCAATGCTTTCTGTTGAAAATGAGCTGGAGGTTTTGAAACGGTTGGGCAGCAAATGTGTGGAAACTTTGCAGCAATTGCCTACGACTGCTGAGTTGGATGGGAGGCTGATCCATTTCCTACGCAGGCTACAGAACAGCACTAATTGGAGAGCAGATGTGGAGCAGTCGAGTTTCGGACAAGAATTTGTCGTGTTTCTCCGGTTTCATAGTCTGGACCTGGATTGTACCCAGGATCAGCTCCCAGTTCGACTCCTACGGTCTCTGGAGAGATGGGAATTAGCTGTCCGGTGGAGATGTAGCTACAAGATAGCTCTTACCAAGTGTGTTTTGTACTGTAAATGTTTGATTAATGAGCTTTCCTTGCAATAAGATTAACAATTGTTACAAGATTCAAATATACCACTTGATGTTAGCTCTTGAGTGCTCTTTGGAATGCAGAATTCCCAAAAAGCACGAGGTGATCAGAAGATTTTGGTTAGACTCCATCTCGGCTGATGCAACTGCTTTGTTCTGCCGAAGTGTTTGATGTTAAGAAATCAAAGATGACAAAACATGTACTCTAGGAGGGCTCCTCGATGTTCATATTTTTTTTCTTTTTCGAAGTCGTAGCCACGTTTGAGTTATTTTTGGCTGTGTGCATCTTGCAATGCTGCTGCAAGATAGGTTTTTAAAAAGGCAATACTTCCATCATCTAAAAAAGGTTGGTAGGAAGAAAGGTAAATTTTCATTCAGACCACCCAGACAATTACTCCCTCCATTCCATAATTTAAATTTGAACTAAAACCACAACAAGAATTATGAAAGGGATAGAGTTCCAAAGACATTTCACCCAGCAGCTCACATGTGACAGCAAATCTGACTAGTTCACCGGCATACACATAATCGATAGTAGTCCTAACACAAGCAGTAGTAGTTGGTAGTAGCATATATAGTTGCATGATCATGAAACATTATTGTAGAAGTTTTACGAGACTTGCAAGCCTCGAGCAGGTAACGTGATGAGAGGCCCAAACGATCCAGAAGCAGCAGCAACGGCGGCAGTTTATGGACCGGACTTGTCTTGGTTTCACCCAGAAGAGACACCGATCGACTTGACCCCGTTCGCCGCAGCTTCAACCATGGGCACCACCTGCACTCGAACCAAGTTCACAGCTGTTAACTCTCCGAGGAGACGCCCCGTATACAACTTCAGGATGATTGCTTCATACAACATCATAGCACAATAACAAATTAAGCAATTTAATCGGGTGCAATGCGCCTCTTGTAGCGAGATGCATGGATTTTACCCTACTAAGCTCAGGAAAAATACTTGCATTATTGTTACTACTAAAGAAACAAAAACAAAACGGTCATCGCTCTGACATTACTGGTAGGAAGGAAAAACCCGGTATGTTTCTTACCGGGCTTGCTTCACCAAATGCCGCTGTGGTCCGCTGACGCTTCACTTCCTCGACGGTCGTAGTCGCTTCATCGCTCGCATCCTTTCTCTTGGTGTGAGAACCTGCTTCACTTGAATAGGTGCTAGTAAGATCACTGGATTAGCTATTATCACGGTATAAAAGATGCCTTCAATCTTATGTAAAGTTCTCTACCAGTGAAAAAACCAAAAAAAGAAACAATGAACATTCATTTTAAGTACCGAAGTTGAAGGAGCAAGACGATTGTGTAAATTTGAAAGAGAAGAGTCTGAACTTGATTTACTTTGTTTTGTTGTCTGAACTGAATATTTACACTTCCTGGATGAAATTACAGTCCGGAAGACTACGGGAGTACATAACATAAGCGAAAGAGCAAACAAATGCACGAATTCGTTTTTTTTGTATCTATCAAATTATTTATAAGATGAATTTACATACAAACCAAGTGTGAAAGACATCAGCAATTAAACAGCACTGCCATTCATACAACCAGATTGATGCAATTGTAACATGGCAATCACATAAAACTATCAGAAATGTGCATACAGATACCTGGCAACATATTTGGTGCTCTATAACAGCTAACAATGTCTGGATCAACAAATTTACCTGCTGCATTTGCCGGTGACGCGGCCCCAGACATTTTTGCATCTTTCAAAGTAGCAGATATCGGCTGGCAGGGTGGAGCACCTGCGACGAATTTGCAATTAGAAGTGTCGGCAAGCAATTTACCTGGATTTCGAACGATATGCAAGCTTAGCAGTTCCTGGATGAAATTACAGTCCAGAACTATGGGAGGGAATGCATAACATAAGCAAAAGAAGGGAAAGAGCTAACAAATGCAAGTATTCGTATTTTACCACATTATTTTATGAGATGAGTTTCCATACAAACCAAGTGACAATAGACAACAGAAAGCAGCAATGCGAGTCATGCAACTAGGTTAATGCAATTGTAACATGGCAATCACATAAAACTATCAGAAATGTGCATACAGAGACCTGGCAATAGATTTTGTGCTCTATAACAACTAACAATGTCTGGATCAACAAATTTACCTGCTGCATTTGCCGGTGACGAGGCCCCAAGCATTTTTGCAGCTGTCAAAGTAGCAGATATGTGCTTGCAGGCTGGAGCATCTGCGGTCGACAAATTTGGAATTAGAAGTGTCGGCAAGCAGCTTGGCAGCGAGTGCTCAACTAATTTAATTTACCTGGATTTATCTCTGCTGGTGAGATCCCGAGGACTGCCAACATTCTCTGCAACTGCAAGGGTGTAGCACCAGACACTCCTGCAGCAGGTAGCCAAGTGCTGATGAATTGCATTTCGGATGAACAACAACATCAAGGTAGCATAATAAGCTATGGTATGTTCAAGTTATTAGAAAGAAAAATACCGTGCCGATGTGGCCCAAAATAACCCAATACATTACAGAGGCAGTAAATAAAAAGCCTATGGAAGTTAAGGCAATGGCAAAATGACAAAGCTAAAGAGAGAGATATGGGAACGAAACAAATGTGAGTTTACCTTGGTTCCCTACTGGATCAGGTGCCGTGGGAATTATGCCAGCTTTTAAAGTTTCATCTGAATGTCACACAAATTCATCGGTTAATTTCCACGTACGCATACATAGTTTCCATCCAATCCAACAGGCAACAGCACAGTATAAATAACACTTCTTCGGTACAACCCCCCTAAACACAACAACGGCTGAGATCGTTCCGTACCCCTTCATAAAAAAGGGTAGGATCGTCCCAACACATAAAAAGCCGCCGCCCGCGCGACGGGGCTGTACCCGCGCGATGGGGCTCTACACCGACTACCCCGTAGACGCGTCCGTCCGCGTACGTACGACGACGACCCTATAAAAAAACGACGCGACGTGACGAGCGACGTACTCGTGGCGACGTGGCGTCGGCTGGACGAAAAAAAATAAGACGACGCGACGTGTGGGGACGACGACGCGACGTGTGTGGACGGGGCGGTTGCGTGCCGTCTAAGCGTCGGTCAAAGACGGTTCCCGATGCGGCGGCCGGCCCGATGCGCCATTAATGCCGGTGTTACGCCGGGGCGTCGGTCACCTACCGGACGGCGCCCCCCACCCACCGAAGCCTGCCTTTAAAACGCCGCCCCCCGTCGCCCGTCTGCCTCCCGCACTCCACTCGACGCGACTCGACCGCTCACCCCACCCACCGACGTGCTTCCACCGCCGACAAGCTCCCATTCCCGGCGGTCTCCATGGCGTCCGATGGCGGCGGCGGCGGCAGCTCGTGGCCGACGAGCCTGGACACGCCGGAGACGAACGAGCTCATCCGTCTCGGGTTGATGGTGCCGCCGGGCTGCCGTCTGCCGCGCGTGTTCCACATCACCGCCGACGGGTACCCGACGAGGGGGCCCGGCGTGACGACGGCCGAGCTCCGCCAGCACGAGGGCGGCCGGTGGAACATCGTCGGCCGCACGAGGTTTTGGAAGGGCAAAAACTTCTGGGCCGTTGCCGCGCAGGCCCGTCGGGAGATGCGGACAGGCGGCTCATCGTCGGGCCCGGGCGGCTCGTCGTCTGTCGCGCGCGGCGCGTCGTCCGCCCCGCGCCGGCCCCGCCGTCCCCCTCCGGCAGCCGCGCCGTCCGCGCCGTCTCCGAGCTCGTCCCGCTGTCCGGTTCCTGCCATCGCCCGGCCCGCCTCCCCTCCCGTCGTCGAGATCCCGCCGGAGCAGTTCGCACTGCGCGAGGACGGTGACCCCGACGACTGTCCCGGCTACCTCATCGCACTGCGGGCGTCGCAGGCAGAAGCGGCGGCCCCTACGGCGGCCGCGGAGGCGAGAGAGGCTGCCGAGCTGCAGGCCGCACTCGACGCGGCGGCGGCCATCGAAGCGGCGCAGCCACAGATTGGTCAGGATCAGGGGGACGACGGCTACTGGGAGGACGGCGGCAAGAGCAGCGACGACGTCGACGGTGACGACGACGGTGACGTCGACGAGGGGGAGATCGTGGACCTCGCCGACTCCGACGAGGACGAGTAGATTAGGATTTTTTTCATCGACTAGTAGATTAGGATTAATTAGTTATGTTTAATTAAGTTTAATTAAGTCATGTTTAATTAAGTTTTTATGTTCTAATGTTTAATTAAGACATGTTTAATTAAGTGGGCGTTCGGTTTATATGGTTAGTTCGGTTCGGTTTATTCGGGTTTTCTAAATTTCGGTTTATGTAAAATAAAAACCTAAATAATCAAAGTAAAAATGTAAACCCAACCTTTTTAACCAAAATTTGTCGGTTCGGTTTGTTCGGTTAACCGTAAAACCGATTATGTATGCGTCTCATATGCCATATGGAATAGAAAGAAATCAATATATTAAACACATATGGAATAGAACATTTTTAGAAATTACACTTTGAAAATTTATGACTTTTTTCAGAAAATGATGATCATGTTTTTCAACATATGATTTTTTAATAAATATCACGGATATTTGTGGAATGGTCCGAACATCTTTTTATAATTGCACTCACATTTTTAGTTTCATGAACATTTTTAATGTCCAGTGAACATTATTAAAACTGAGTAAGTAAAACCTTTTAAAATCGAAACAAAACCGACCCAAAGAAACAGAAGTAAAAAATACATAGAGAAAACACGCCAGAAAATCAGGGGTAACCTTCTAGAAGGTTCCCAAATCCGAAAACAATGTACGACCCATGCGAATAAGAGATTATTTAGCGCTTAAGATTTTCCCTGATAAATGATAGTACTGACAATAAGAAAGGCATAGCATCAACTCCAAAAAAAGAAGTTAACAAAATGCTCTTTGCACACCTGTCTTATAGGATTATTCTTTTCGGGCGTTTCTTGTATATTTAGGTGTAATCCTTTGAGAGAAAAAATGGTCGACTTTGGCGAATGCGACCGAGAGAAGTATGACCGAGGTCCCCCCCGCCCATACCGAAACCACCGG